CGTATAACTTTTATTAAACCTTTTTGTTTAAATTCGTGGTGACTATTAGTAGGATAGGAATGCAAACTCATGTCTATGGATGTAATATTATAATATGAACTTCTAAGCATGCAAAAATAATATTATGTGTTTATGTAAATTTCCCTTTTAAATGAAATGTTGAATGTAGTTGATGTATGGATTGCATTTTGATGATGTGAGGAAAATAGGTTCTCAATTTACCGACACAATGTGTGTCAAAGAAAATTTTTTTTTTTTTGTTTTGGGGCTTGAAAAGCCGGGTTGTTACAGTAATAAAGTTTTTGAAAGAAAATATCTTGAGTCAATTTGGAATCCCTCGAGCCATGATAAGTGATGGTGGAACACATTTCTGTAACAAGTCATTCGAGTCTTTAATAACAAAATATGGAATCACATATAAAGTTGCCACCCTTTATCATCCTCAGACAAATGGACAAGTAGAGCTTGTTAATAGGGAGATTAAACAGATCTTGGAGAAAACAGTGACCTCTAATAGAAAAGATTGGTCTTTAAGACTTAATGATGCACTTTGAGCTTATCGAACTGCTTATAAAACATCATTAGCTTGTCACCTTATAAGTTAGTCTATGAAAAACCTTGTCACTTTCTTGTGGAACTTGAACATAAAGCTTATTGGGCTATTAAATCTTTCAATTCAAACCTTGATGATGATAGTCAACTGCGAGAATTACAAATAAATCAGATAAGGAAATAAGAAATGATGCATATGAAAATTCAAGAAGTCATAAAGCAAGAATCAAAGAGTTTCATGACAAGAAAATATTGAGAAAAACATTCAATGTTGGTTAAAAAGTCTTGCTTTATAATTCTAAACTCCATTTATTTCCTGGAAAACTAAGATCAAGATGGAGCGGTCCTTTTATTATGAAACACGTGTATCCATATGGAGCCTGTGATATCGAGAATTCAAATAATGACAATGTTTTCAAGGTAATTTGACATCGTTTGAAAGTTTGCTTTGATAATTTTTTAGTTAAAAATGACTTTATTGAATTGGGTAATCTTGTATATAAAGAATGATTTTCTTTTTCTCATATTGTTTTGTGTTTTGTTTTGGTGAAACTTTTGTTTTACTAGTCTCTCTTACCCCGGTCAAATGGCGGATTACGGTACTTTGTGACTTAAGTCGGTTTTTTTAGTTTCCCATAATAACTGATATTTGTGTATATATTTGTATAATTCTTTGCTTTTTCTCACTCCTTTGAATCTTTTGTCCAATTCACATTTGAAAATGGACACCACTCTTGAAAAATTAAAAAAAATATTTTCCCACTCTACCTCAGAATGCGATTACAAAAAATTACTATGCTAGATGTGCAAGATTGAGATTGTTAATAAATCATAGAATTTTTAAAGATATTCGTTGGCTAATTGAAGCAAAGGTCCAATTGTCAGGTGAGTCTTCTAATTCCTTCATTTTATATATCTCTGAAATAGGTAAAAGCACTTTTGCAAAGAAACATCGTGCAAAATAACTGAAAGTCTGTCATAGATTTGCCAAATGGACTTGTAAGGCAACATGTCGTTTTTTAGGAATGGTATCTGTAACTGTGAAGATAAAATACAATTAATTAAGGATGGTCTGAGTAAGGGGTCTTTAAATAATCTTATATTGACTCTTGAGACGCATCCTAATAGAGATGTGCATTGTGTAATTCATAATTTATAGCCATAATTCCATAAAGAACATGAACGACTTAGTCTTGGGAATCTGACTATAAAAGACCTTGTTTGCTGGTTTTTAAGAAAACTGGATGGGAAGCCTATCTCTGACCCATAAAAGGCATTTAAGCCGTTTTTGGATGTAAAACAAAGGGAATGCGTGAGCCATAATTACAACTACCTATACATACATATGTTTTTTTAAAAATAATAATAAATAAATAGAGAGAGAGAGAGAGAGAGACTTCAATCGACATACATATAGGTGGTATGATTACATTTTCAAGTTCTCATCTATAAAATCTTCTCTTCCTTCCCTTCATTTCTACTCAAACCATACATTCAATATATATATAAGTGTGTACAAATGGTAGGTTACTTAAGTCATTACATGAGAAACATTTGTGTTTTTTATGGATCCAGTCCTGGAAAGGAAATAGAGTTTTTAGAATTAGCAAATCATCTTGGTCAGGTAATAGCTGAGAGAAAGACTCATTTAGTGTATGGGGGAGGCAGCTTTGGGTTAATGGTGAGAGTGTCAATAGTTATATTTTTAGGAGATAGTCAAGTTTTGGGGGTTATCCCCAAACTTTAGCAAATAGGGACATCATTAGAAAAACAATTGGAGATAAACTACAGATCTCCACAATGTTTGATTGAATGAATGCAATATTTAAACACGTTGATGCTTTCATTTCCTTACCAGGTGATTTGGGCACATTGAAAGAGATCTTTCATATAAACTGTTGAGCCCAATTGGACATTCACCATAAACCAATAGGCTTATTAAATGTTAATGGTTTTTATGATAAATTATTGTCTTTTCTTGATCATATTGTGGAATAAGAATTTCTAACATCTTCAGCATGACAAATCATAATCTCTACCACTAATGCTGAACAATTGATTAACCAATTACAATCTTTCACTCCTATAATTGATCCCTTCATGAGTCGTATAAATTGGTCAACTAAGGAAAGCTATAAAAAGCTTAGATTGAATTTAAGCATTCGTTTGTGAATTCTTATATCTTTTAGTTTTATTAATAGCATATTATTTTGTTTTGTGATATCTTATATTTATTTAAATGTGTTTCATGTTTGTTAGTATTTGGTGTTTTAGGTGATGTTTTTTATACTCTATCTTTCTACCTTATAACATTGAGGGTAATGTCTCGTTTTGGTTAGGGGAAATGAGTAGTGGTTGATATTAAAAAAAAAATTAACTAACTATTTTTCTATTTCATAAACCATTTGCAAAATTGTTGTACTAAGATGACAGAGTAAAGGAGTTTTTTTGTTAAAGTGACTTTTGAGATGCATCTTAGTAAGCATTCTTAACAAGGTCTATCAGAATACTTCTTAAAATATTCGGGTTTACAAACTCTTACATTGTTATCACTTAATTTTGCTCATACACTCATTTAACAAGTTTTCTTAAACCTTTATTTTCACACACACACTTTAACATATGATTGTGGATTGCGTATTGGATCATTACATTATTTTTGTTCTTTTTATTAAAGGTAATAACTAAAGAAAAGGGATAATATATAAATTGTGAAAAAAACAAAAAAAAATAATGATAATAAAAACATAGATAAGTTTACTTTCATACCCTTCCTAACCTAAGCAATTAAGCCCGAAGATGTGTTTTAACACCTAATACCCTAATGTCAACTAACGTGGGAGCTATAGGCCCAACGCTCATCACATGGGTTGAGGAGAAAAGTTTAAGGGAATCAAACATTGCACTATATGTATCAATATCTACAACTCTAGTTACTAAACTCGTAAGGGTATCTCAACACCTGTTGCTCTAAGACCAACTGGTCTGAGAGTCATTAGCCGAAAGCTCGTTACACAGGTTAAAAATGCACTGTGTTTTTAAGTTAGATATATATTAATAAAAAAAAGAAGAAAAAGATAATAATCCTAACCCAAGGAAATTAATCTTAAATATTAGAACAAAAGTTTTGTTTTCTTCCAAGTAAAGCCTCATAATTATGTGTTCATATATTGAACACAAAAGGAAGGTTTAATAATATCTTATTTAAAAGGTATTAAGCAGATATATAATTTTAATAAGAGTTTGTTTATCTAGATAGATTAATGAAAGTTCAATGATGAATGCCTTGCTTTATAAAATTTGTAAATTATTTTTCTATTTTAACATTTTGATTACTAGGGACTAGCAATAAACTGGTTGGAGGGTGTGATTAGTATTTAAAAGTGTATTTTTATCAAGGTCTTATATCATCATTTTGCACTTGAAGTATTAATAACTCCTTAACTAAAGCATGTTTACAATAACAAGTTTGATACCATAAGATACCTGATTAGTACTTAAAAATGCATTTTTATCAAGGTTTTATATCATTATTTTGCACTTGAAGTATCAATGAGTCCGTAACTAAGACATGTTTTATAATAACATATCTCATAATATAAAATAGCTTTAATTTATGGTAATTTTTCATCTTAAATGCAGGTGTATCATATAAATGAATGGATTGATTGATGAGTTGAAGAACTGAAATTGAAAGGACAAAGAGATGGCCAAACATAACAAAAAGATGTTGGTGCAGTGCAAATTGAAACACTATTCAGTAATTAGGTCATATCTAGAGCTATAGATCTCAAATTTAGGTCTAATTTATATGGATGGAAAGGTAAGACATAGGCCTACAACTTTCATATGGAACCTAAGATTTAAAAAGGCCACTTTAAAGTCCAACTTATAGCAACAATAAAGAATGAATCTATCCTGCAGCCCAAACACTATTCAGTGTTTGACCCATATCTAGAGTTCTAGAATTCCAAATGACCTCTATTTTTTTTTTCTAGAAAGCTGAGACAATTTCCTACAACTTTCATATTTCAAGTGGTTCCAATTCTAACGTTATCATTGACCTTTTGGGCAGACAAAAGAAGATAAAGATTGTTACCAAGTTAAGAGTTGGTCACCGACTCATCTATTAGTCATCAAATCAATAGTTCCCAATTTTGGCCTATAAAAGAAGGCATTTGTCATGCATTTAGGCATCTTGGTCTCCAGATCAAGATCATTCTCTTGATTTCTCTCTTTGTATTTTTGTAATGCTTAAGTTTTATTTTCATTAATATCTTATTTATGCCTTTCAATTCCTTTCCTTAGTTAACTTTTATCTTATTTATGTTCTTATTTTGTTTATTTATTTTCCTATCTTTCATTATGTTTAGTTAAGTTTATTATGTCAAGGTGAAAAGGTTATACTAATGGTGTAAGAATAAGTATAGTATAAACTTAACATGGACTTTAATGTTTGATACTAACATGTTTTATATTTGTTATCTTTTTCACTCTTTAATACTTTGCTTGTTAAATGACTAATCTAGATTTATATTGTATAACACTTGGTACAACAAATACTCAGCACTTTCATAGCCCATACTGTATAGTATAACCGACACCTAAGCTATGAAAGGAACTTAATTTGTTATTAACATAAGTTATAATCATGAATGCTTGATGAGATGTACAAGTATTAGCATTAATCGAATAAGATAACTAATGTAATCATGTTAACAATTTATAATCTAATTGGAACCTTCTTTGTTTGGTTTCCAATTGAATAATAAGACTTTATACTATACTTGTTTCACATACCATTAGTAGATCCTCTAATCTTGACATTTGTTATTATCATTGTTTAATCATTACATTAATCTTTCCTTTCAAAGTTCTCATCAACTTGTTCTTTATTACTACTACTACTACTACTACTACTACTACTACTATTATTGTTATTATTATCGTTGTTATTGTTATTGTTATTTATAATTCTAGTATTACTACTACTACTACTACTACTACTACTATTATTGTTATTATTATTGTTGTTATTGTTGTTGTTGTGTTATTGTTATCCATAATTTATACAATTAACCTCCCTATGATTTGACTCCAGTTTTGCTAGGTTATTTATTACTTTGACACTCCTACACTTGGGAGAAGACATCAATCTTTTAGTAGTGTCAAAAGGATAAAGAGATGGCCAAACTTAAAAAAGAGATATTGGTGCAATTCAAACCAAAGCACTACTCGATAATTGAGTCATATCTGGAGCTGTAGATCTCGGATTTAAGTCTACTTTATATGGATGGAAAGGAAAGACATAGGCCTACAACTTGTATGGGAGCCTAAGATTTAAAAAGGTCATTTTCAATTCCAAATTGTAGCAATAATGAAGAAGTTTGAATCTGTCCTACAACCCGAACACTGTTCAGTATTTGGCCCATATCTAAAGTTCTAGAAGTCCAAATGACCTCCATTTTTTTTCTAAAAAGCTGAGACAATTTTCTAGAACTTTTATGTTTTCAAGTGGTTCCAATTCTGACGTTATCAATGACATTTTAGGTAGAAAAGAGAAGATAAGGACTGTCACTAGGTCAAGAGTTGGCCACCCACTCATCAATTAGTCATCAAAACAATACTTTTTAATTTTGGTTTATAAAAGGAGGCATTTGCCATGTATTAAGGCATCTTGGTTTCTAGATCAAGATCATGCTCTTTCTTTCTCTCTTTGTATTTTTTAAATGCTTAAGTTTTATGTTCATTAATATCTTATTTATTCCTTTCAATTCCTTTCCTTTACTTAGTTAACTTTTATCTTATCTATGTTTTGATTTTGTTTATTTATTTTTCTTTTTTTTATTATGTTTAGGTAAGTTTATTATATCAAAGTGAAAAGGTTATACTAATGGTGTAAGAATAAGTATAGTATAAATTTAACATGTTCTATATGTGTTATCTTATTCACTCTTTAATACTTTGCTTGTTAAATGACTAATCTAGATTTATGTAGTATAACACTTACTACAACAAATGCTTGGCACTTTCATAGCCCATATTGCATGTTATAATCGACACCTAAGCTATGAAAGGAACTTGATTTATTGTTAACATAAGTTATAATCATGAATGTCTGATGAGATTTACAAGTATTAACATTAATCGAATAATATAACTAATGTAATCATGTTGGTAATTTACAATCTGATTGGAACCTTTTTTGTGTCTGGTTTCCAATTGAATAATAAGACTTTATACTATACTTGTTTGACATACCATTAGTGGATCCTCTAACCTTGACATTTGTTATTATCATTGTTTAATCCTTACATTAATCTTTCATCTCAAAGTTCTCATCAACTTCTTCTTCTTCCTTTTCCTTTTCTTCTTCTATTATTATTATTGTTATTGTTGTTGTTGTTCTTGTATTATTATTATTTATAATTTATGCAATTAACCTCCCTGTGGTTCGACCATGGTCTTACCAGGTTATTTATTACTTCAACACTACTACACTCGGGAGAAGACATCAATTTGGTCGTGTCAACAAGTCAATAAATTCATTTATCTTGTGGATTTTTTTATCTTGGACGCACACCCTGTTGAAGAATGTAATTCATTTCTTGTTATTTTAGGATGTCCGTTTCTTGCAACTTCTAATGCATTGATTAATTATAGGAATAGACTAATAAAGTAATCATTTGGAAACATAATGTTGGAGATGAATATTTCCAACACTTGTAAGCAATCTAGAGATGATAATGATTTATAAGAAGTGGATTTTACTAAAAAATTGGTTCATAATCAATTTCAAACTACTTCAAGTGAAACTGAGATTAATGAATTTGACGATTTACAAATAGTTTATTTTCAGAAAGAATTAAAGGCAAGTAATTAGAGACCATAAATTAAGGAATTGCCACCATGATCAATTAAGTCCATACCTTCAAGTGTTCAACCATCTAAACTTGAGTTGAAGTTGTTACCATTCAATCTCAAATACTCATTTTTGAGAGAAAATGAAACTTTTCCGGTAATAATATCTTCCAAAATTAATGCACATCAAGAAGGTAAGCTAGTACAAACTCTGAAAATGCACAAAAATGCATTAGGATGGACCATAGCTGACATAAAAGGAATTAGTCCTTTGATTTGCACACACATAATTTATTTGGAGGAAAATGCTAAACCCTCTAGAGAAATACAATGAAGGCTCAATCCTAAGATGAAAGAAGTAGTGAAAAATGAAGTCATTAAGCTTCTCGATAATAGAATTTTTTATCCCATTTTTGACAGCAAATGGATAAGTTCTACCTAAGTTGTACCCAAAAAGTCTAGAGTCACTATGATAACAAATGAGAAAAATGAGTTAATTCCAACTATCACTATTTCTAGTTGGCGTATGTGCATTGACTATAGGAAACTTAATTCAATGAATAGAAAATATCATTTTCCTTTACCTTTCATGGACCAAATCCTAGAAAGAGATGCAGGTCATTGATTTTATTGTTTCCTAGATGGCTATTGAGGTTATAACCAAATTGAAATTGCATTGGAAGATCAAGAGAAGACTACTTTCACATGTGCATTTGGTACTTTTCATATCGAAGGATGCCTTGTGGATTATGTAATGCATTAGCCACGTTTCAAAAATGCATACTTAGTATATTTAGTGATATGGTTGAATATTTTCTTGAGATTTATATGGATGATTTTTCTGTTTTTGGCGATTCATTTGATGATTGTTTGACTAACTTAGAAAAGGTTTTGAGTAGGTGTGAAGAGAAGAATCTTCTACTTAATTGGGAAAAATGTCACTTTATGGTAACAAACGACATTATACATGGTCATATTGTTTCATCAAAAGGAATTTAGGTTGACAAATCTAAAATCAAGTTAATTCTAACTTGCCAACACCAAAATCTATTAAAGATGTTAAATCATTTTTAGGACATGTTGGTTTTTATAGAAGGTTCATCAAAGATTTTAGTGTAATATCTAAGCCCTTAAGTAATCTTCTAACAAAGGATAAGATATTTTAATGGACTAAACATTGAAAAGAAGCCTTTGTTCGAAAAGGCCAAATTCAGTGAAGTCACCACTTCACCTAGCAGCATGACGCTTGTATTGCTCTCCCACAACCCCGTTTTCACGGTTTAGGTTGCTCCCATTTCGCTCACCGCTACTATGGGAATCACTTTTGCTTTCTATTTTGGGACAAAAAAAAAGATAAGAAACCTTATGTGATTTACTATACAAGTTAAACTTTAAATAGTGCTTAAATGAATTACATCACCACTGAAAAGGAATTACTTGTAGTAGTATTTGCATGTAAAAAATTCAGGTCTTATCTTGTTGTTGTTTTTAGTGATTATGCAGCATTGAAATATCTTTTTTCTAAGAAAGATTCTAAGGCTAAATTGGTGCGGTGGTGATGTAACCATATTATTCGATTGTTTCACCCACATTTACCTAATGTTTTGTCCATGTTTTATATGTAAAATGCCTTGATATTCTTTGTTTTATGTTTTGAAGGCACTTTTGGATGAAAAATGCGAAAAGGAGTAAATTGGAGATAATTGGCAGATTTGATGTTCAGTCGATGTTTTGTGCAGAGCGTGATTTCTAGAGATCAAAATGAAGTGATTCCAGTGGCTCTAAAAAGCTAACATCCATACCTTTCTGAAAATGTAATGCAAGAAAAATACAAAGAGGAAGATCATGGAAATCACATCCTTCAAAGTCAAATCTCGTATTCTACCACTGTTGACCTTTGTCCATTCAAAATTCCATATCTGGAGCTATAGACGTCCAATTGATGCAAACTCAATTTGGTTGGATTCATGACTCCAAGGTCTAGAAACGCTCCAATGTTAAGCCAAACACGATGTCCGATGAGGGCGATATGATTTTTCAAAGATGACAACTGAATTCTGCCAGCAATCAGGTTTCGTGAAGAAATGAGTCCAAATTATGTTTCGAAGCTTCTAAACTATCATCCAAGTTATAATTTCAGCAATTTATCCCCTCTAGTAAATCAATCTAGAAGGTCAAGAAAAGTAGCCACCAACCTCAATCCACCTACCTCAAATCACCAACCACAAACCAGCTGCAAGTTGGAATGCTGCCATTGTCAAAGAAGGAGGCTACAATGGTGGGTTGTTTGTGGTGACTACTAATGTCAAAGTTTGGCATGTTTGGCAGCCACCATTATTGATAAAGAAGCAAGAGGAGCTGCCATTGAAGCCTATATATAGACACCAAGAGAGCCAAGAAAGGAGAGGAGGGAGTGCAATAGAATCAAAGAAAGGTGGTAGCAACTAGAAGTGAAGAAACACAAACTCTCCTCTCTACATGCTAGAAATAATGCTTTCTTTTATCTTTAAGAGTAGTTGTTCAATAGATATGCAAGGCTAAGCTCTTTTCTTGGTTGCAAGGACATAGAAACTTTCAGATTTCAAGAACTGTGAGATTTATTCTTCATTTATTTTCAGTTTGTATTATGAATGAGTATGATTGTTTTCCTATGCATGTTTTCTATGATTGTTGTTGATAATTGCTAGAGCAGACTCTAAGTTATTATTGTGAACAATCTATTGCTAAGTTTGATATCAGAACCGGAGTTAGGGTATATAAACTTGTGAAGCAACTAAGCTTGATAATTGTGGTGGAACTACGTTATTAAACTTAGGGAAAACATTCGATCAAAGCAACACAAGCAGACAACTTGGTTGTTAAGATTAATGAATTTATCTAGATCTTAAGGCTGCCATTAGATTAAATCATTAGTGCGGACACTGTGATTATTTGTTGGTTAGGGCTAGTTATACGGCGGATCCGTTAATTAACCAAAGTTAAGAAAAGATAAAAATTCAGAATATAAACTGTAGTTTCGTTTTAAGGATCAGTTCTGATTTCTGTAGGTGGATGTGTGCTTGTGACCAAGGTTTGTTTTCTTGATAAATTTCAGTTTTAATTGATCGTGTTCACTAGTTTAATTTCTTCCATATTTTAGATTATCACAAATCAAAACCCCCCAATTGCATAACGTATAACTTAAAAATCTGAACTAAATCTTCCTTGTGGGATCGATCCCTTGCTTGCTCTATACTATCTTGTGTGATTTAAGTGTAAGGGTAATTAATTTGTGCGACCGCGACATCGCAACAAATTTTGGCGCCGTTGCCGGGGAAGTAATTTTAGTTAATTCTTGTGCTTGTACTGTTATATTTATTTGCTGTGATTATTATTTATTATTATTCAGAAAAAAAAATACAAAAAAAAGTTTTTTGCTTGCGGCGGTACTGTTCACTTGCCGCAACGGTACTGTTCAAAACAGAATTGTTTGTGGAATTAGGGTTCGACCTTTTGTTTCCTGAAGGGAAATGACGTTTTGAACAAGACTAGTGGTAAACCACTAACCCTACCATTTCGAGGCCAAATTCCACTATTATCTAAGGTTTTTAGGCAGTTTTAGTTTCCTAGCGTTGGATTTTCATATAATTTGCATTATTTTTCGTCTCTTGTGTGGTTTCTTTCTTTTGAATTTTCTTAGCAATTGATGCCTGTGACCCGTTCTACTAATCAAATTCAAGTGCAGGTTGATTTTGAAATAGAAAGCACTTTACGCAGGTTAAGAAAGGAAGCTCGCCTCAACACCATGGCTATTGCACGACAACAAACACTTAAGGAGCTTGCTGCTCCTAATGTGGAAAATCAGTCACTATGCATAAACATTGACAATAATGTAAACTTTGAGCTCAAATCTGGTTTTATACATTTGTTACCAACATTAATGGTCTTGCAGGAGAAGATCCACATACTCATCTCAAGGAGTTCCATATGGTTTGCGTTGGCATGAAACCGAATGGAGTTGATGAAGAACAGGTTAAGTTGAAAGCTTTCCCTTTCTCTTTAAAAGGGGCAGCAAAGGCATGGCTTTTCTCTATTCTCCCAGGATCTATTGGAACTTGGAATGCCATGAAGAAGATTTTCCTTGAGAAGTATTTCCCAGCATCTCGAGTTGCCAACATAAGGAAAGAAATATGTGGGATTCGGCAATCTCATGGAGAGACACTCTCCGAGTATTGGGAAAGATTTGAGCAACTGTGCATTCAATGTCCTCATCATCAAATACCCGATCAGTTGCTCATTCAATATTTCTATGAAGGATTAATGCCTACTGACCGTAGTATCATTGATGTTGCAAGTGGAGGCGCATTGGTGGATAAGACACCCGAGGCTGCACGCCAATTGATCTCAAACATGGCAGCCAACTCAAAACAGTTTGGCACTCGTGGAGACTTCTCCAACAAACGAGTAAATGAGGTAAGTATTTCTAACATTGAGAATAAAGTTAATGATCTTACTTCTCTTGTGCGTTCTTTGGCTTGTGGAAATGTGCAACAGGTGAAAGTTTGTAGCATATGCTCCTTACAAGGACATACTTCGGATATGTGCCCAACAATGCCAGAAGATTACATTGAACAAGCTCATGCAATTGATGGAGCATTCAACGGACAACCCCAGCGTAAATATGATCCCTTTTCCAACACGTACAATCCCGGATGGAGAGATCATCCCAACTTATGTTATGGCAACCCATCCCAACAAGGCAATCAAGGCCGACAATTCCATCCCCATGGATTTCAACCCCAACAGAATTATCAAACAAGACAACCCCTTCCATTCACAAACTTCAATGTTACGGGGTCGTCATCCAATGATGATCTTCATGAGATGATGAAAACTTTAGCTTCTAATACTGTTACCTTGTAACAAAATGTCATGTCTTTTCAACAGGAAACAAGGTCAAGTATTCACAACTTGGAGAAGCAAATGGGGCAAGTAGCTTCAAGCGTAGGGAAATTGGAGGCACAAATGAATGGAAAATTGCCTTCCCAAACATTGAATCCAAAAGAGAATGTTAGTGCGATCATGCTGAGAAGTGGGAAAGAACTTGAAGAGAAAAGGTCAAAACAAATTGAGATGGAGGAAGAAGAAGAGATAGAAACTGAATTGAGTACAAAGAAGGAACATCATCCTTCTCCACAAACTAAAACATCGACCAACACTCCAAAGGAGTTGTGTACTACCAAGAGAGCTTTCAAACTAAAAGGTCATGAAATGGTAAGTATAGGTGAAGTTGTGTCTGCTGTTGTTCAAAAGAATATGCCTTTAAAGCAGAAGGACCCAAGTGCGTTTACTATCCCATGTGTTATTGGTAATGCTAGTTTTAAAAGAGCTTTATGTGATTTAGGTGCATCCATTAGTGTTATGTCTAAACATGTTTATGATTCTCTTAGTCTGGAACTTTTGAATAAAACTAGCATTGTAATACAACTTGCAGATCGTAGTTTTGTTTACCCACTTGGTGTGATAGAAGATGTCCTAGTCAAGATTGATAGTTTGGTTATTCCATGTGATTTTTATATTCTTAATATGGAACATGATTCTTGTGATTTATTAACCAGCACTCCTATATTGTTTGGGAGACCATTCTTGAAAACTGCCAATACAAAGATTGATTGTGGTAAGGATACTTTGTCTATGGAGGTAGGAGATGAAAAGATTGAATTTAATTTTCATGATGCAATGACATATCCTTATAACAATGTTTATTCTATCATATGTTATGACCAAGTTGATAAGTGTATGCAGCAGGTTTGTGATTTTGATAGCGAAGATGGATTAAGCATAGCTTTGAGCTATGGCTATGATTTTACCAAGATAGAAGAGATGGAGAGGCATATATGTGTTCCCCAAAATGTGCATGAATCAGCATTGGCTTTACAAGCTTCGTAAATTAACCTTCATGATGCAGGAGTCATTCCCCCCATCACGGACAATGAATGGGTGGCGTCTATCCTTTTGGTACCCAAAAGGACGGCCACCACGTTGAGAGAAAAACAAAATGATGCTTATGAGAATGCAAGGATTTACAAAGAAAAGACTAAGAATCTTTATGACAGAATGCTTACAAGAAAGGAATTTCATGTTGGAGACAAAATCCTTCTTTATCATTCGCGTTTAAAACTTTTTCCTGGAAAATTACGCTCTCGTTGGATTGGACCTTTTGTTGTTTCTAATATTTTTCCTTATGGTGCAGTTGAAATTACAAGTTTAGAAACCAATAAAGTACTCAAGGTCAATGGACATCGTTTGAACCCTTTCTATGAAGGTTGGACGGCAGAACTCACCGCTTCTATAGAGTTAGCTGAACCAATCTATGAAGAATGAGCATGCCACATGTCAAGCTGACACGACGAAAAGGCCAAAAACTTGACACGACTAAAAGATTGATGTCTTCTCCCAAGTGCAGGAGTGTCGAAGTAATAAATAACCCGGCAAGACCGGGGTCGAACCACAGGGAGGTTAATTGTACAAATTATAGACAATAATTATAAAAAACAATAACAACAACAACAATAGTAGTAGTAGTAATAATAATAATAATAATAATAATAAAGAAAGAGAAGAAGAAGAAGATGATCAGAACTTGGAGATGGAAAATTAATGTAAGGATTAAACAATAATAATAACAAATGTCAAGGTTAGAGGTTAGAGGTTTCACTAATGGTATATCAAACAAGTATAGTATAAACTCTTATTATTGAATTGGAAACCACACACAAAGGAGGTTCCAATCAGATTATATATTGTTAACATGATTACATTAGTCATCTTATTTAATTAATGCTAATACTTGTAAATCTCGTCAAGCATTCATGATTATAACTTATGTTAACAACAAATCAAGTTCCTTTCATAGCTCAGGTGTCGGTTATACCATATAGTATGAGCTATGAGAGTGCCAAGCATTTGTTGTACCAAGTGTTATACAACATAAATCAAGATTAATCATTTAACAAGCAAAGTATTAAAGAGTGAACAAGATAACAAATATAAAACATGTTAGTATCAAACATTAAGGTCCATATTAAGTTTACATTATACTTATTCTCACACCATTAGTGTAACCTTTTCACCTTGACATAATTAACTTAGCTAGACATAATGAAAGAAAGAAAAATAGATAAAAAAAATAAGAACATAAAAGCTAACTAAGTAAAGGAAAGGAAATGAAAAGCATAAACTTAGTATTAATGAAAGCAAAGCATAAACATTACAAAAAATACAAAGAGAGAAAGGAAGAGCATGATCTTGATCTGAACACCAAGATGCCTAAATGCATGGCAAATGCCTCCTTTTATAGGCCAAAATTGGGAACTATTGATTTGATGACTAATTGATAAGTGGGTGGCCAACTTTTGACTTGGTGACAATCCTTATCTTCTCTTGTCTGCCCAAAACGTCATTGATAACGTCAAAATTGGAGCCAGTTGCAAACATGAAAGTTGTAGGAAATTGTCTCAGCTTTCTGGTGTAAACAACTCAGCTCATTTGGACTTCTAGAACTCCAGATATGTCCAAAATACTGAACAGTGCTCGGGCTGGAAGACAGATTCGGGCTTCTTTGTTGTTGCTACAATTTGGACTTGAAAATGGCCTTTTTAGATCTTGGGCTCCATATGAAAGTTGTAGGCCTATGTCTTACCTTTCCATCCATATAAATTGGACCTAAATCTGAGATCTGTAACTCCAGAGATGACCCAATTACCGAACAGTGTTCCGGTTTGGATTGCACCGACATCTCTTTTCTAAGTTTGGCCATCTCTTCATCCTTGCAATTTAAGTTCTTCAAGTCATCAATCAATCCTTTCATTTATGTGATAGGCCTGCATTAAAAATAGATATTTACCACAAATTATAGGTATCTTATATTATTAGATACATTATTATAAAACATATTTTAGTTAAGGAGTTATTGATATTTCAAGTGCAAAATGATGATATAAAACCATGATTAAAATGCACTTTTAAGTACTAATCATTATTGTTATTGTTATTGTTGTTATTATTGTTAGTATTGCTATTGTTGTTTATTACTTCGACACTCCTGCACTTGGAAGAAGACATCAATCTTTTGATCGTGTCATTAATGTCGAGAGGAGACAAATCCTTCCAAATTCTTGAAAAGATCAATGCATGCTTACAAAGTGGAATTCACAGGTGAGTATGGTGTTGGTGTTAAATTTAATATATCTACTCTTTTTTTTTTAATATGGGTGATGACTTCAAAGTAAATCCTTTTGAGGAGAGAAGGAATGATGTGATCCTAGCTTCAATTCCAAAAAAAAACATTACAACTCTATTGGGTTCGGTCACGAGACTTGAAACAAAGAGATCGAAGGATTCAATGAATGGACTTCTTCATGATACATGAGCTAAAAGTGGACTTCTAAAGGATATCAAAGAATGAAGAACAAGCCTTGATTAATTTGATTCATGTTTAAAAAGGGCTTGTAGGGGAGTTTCCACACATTACAGAAAGATTGGAATAAAAAGATTTAAATATGTCAATATTGACCTTTAATTACTGTTTTGGTCATAATTAGATCTACATGATGAATTTTTATGCAATTCTAGTTTCATTGAAAATTAGACATCTATACCTTTCTAGTAACATAAGGTGGACCTTTTAATTCATCAAGAAGAGAGAGAACTATTCATTTCAAATAGGGCTTCAATTCTACCAATAAATTATAAAACTCGACTTTGGGTTTGTTTTAATTAGTTGGGCTATTATTTATTTTTTCATTAGTTTATTATAGGAGTTGCAACATTTAAAGGTTATTTGAGTTAGGTTTTATTTAATTATTTTTAGTTATTTTTTGCTTTTAATGTGTTAAGCCCTATTTTTCATATTTTGGTCTATTAAGTCAAATTACGATTAGTTTTCTACTATATAAACCAATCGTTAGCAATATTTTAGGATTGATGAATTTTTATCTAATATTGTTGCATATTGTGTGCCTTTTTTCTCTCTTTATATGGTTGAGTGATTTCAATATTAAGTTCTTAATTGAACTTTCAAACTCTTTAAAACATTGATAAATTTCATTGCAATTTATACTTTTCATTCACGTTATGTTATAAGTATAGGGTTGGGGAACTTGGGGTGATTAATTGCATGTAACTTTGATTCTTCAAGACAAGATTTTTTGGATAAAGTTGTAAATTTTTGTTGAAACCTTAAATTAGCAAAGGATAATTTTATATCACCTTCTCTCCCTTTTCTTCTCCAATGAGGTTTTATAATCAATAAAATTCTATATATATATATATATATATATATATATATTTTGTACATGCTACTTAAACAGCTAAATACATATCGGTAAGATGTCATAGATGATGTACAATTCAACATCAATATGCATGATACATGATTATTGCCAACTATAGGAATATAAACAAAACTCTTGGTTATATTGTCATAATTGCATCAATTCTAGTTGAATTTATGTTGTTGTTTTTAACCATTGTGAGAACTAGCTAGTTTGGGTAGAACCTTCATCGATTGTTTTTAACCCTTTCATTCTCCCCAAAAGCCCCTAAACAAAAACATAGGAAATTGCTTCGCTAGATCCTTTGTTCCCTAGCTAAAGCAAAACCTAATGCAACCAATAACCTTCAGAGCCTTCAACCCAACTTCACCCCCAATCTGGTTGGATTCACAAAAAAAAAGTTCAAAATCCAACCATAATCGACCTCCAAATCTCAACCCAAAGAATGATCAACAGAGACCCATCTTAGCCCCGACCACAGTTGATGACATCCTTGTCCTCCTTATCTTTACCAATTTTCTAGATCGAAATCCAGCTACTCCATAACCTAGCCCCACCACCTTCATCCACATCAAACCAACCAAAGTTCCACCATAACCCACTAAACCAACACCATTTCTGATCAAAAGAACCATAACTTTAACTATCCTTCTACTTTAAACAACAAGCAACCTACAAAAACAATCAACATAAAGGAAAGGGAGGAGAAACCAAACCAGCAAGAAAGAAAGATCAAACAAAAACAAAACAAAACTTCCTATGGCCATATCTTTTATTTCAAAAAAGATGCAGTGACTTTGCCAATACAGGGAGAAAAGGAAGAAGAGATGTTTAAAGCGACAATAAAGGATTGGTCTAGTGTTGCAATCAATAAACTAATAATATTAACCTTTCAGGATGTTGCAAATACAACAATCATGAGTTGTGTTTCTATTTTTATAGACAACAATATTATGAATCTTTTGTTCCTTTCTTTCCGTATAAAGTAGAAAAGGAATGTTAATAATGACTAAAAATTGTTTGACAAAAATACTAAAAAGGATTTTTTTTTTTTGGTAAGTTGACGTATATATTAAAGGAAAACGATACAAAGATTATAAGGGGCATACCCCAGATTTACAATGAGAACAGAAACGTAAAACAACAGATGGCTACATGCTAGCCACCGAACTGAAAACACAAGACCTAACTTGATTCGTTAGGAAAACCAATACAACCAGCTAAATATCAAATGAAGAATCTATGTTATTAACCCTCCATGCTCGTTGGATTCTTTTATTTTCATCTGTTGGTAGAACGTTCCTCAGCAAATCAAGCTTATCACGGATGATACATTCAATTTGATGAAAGACCAAATTCTGAGTTCTAGATATTCCAGCAAAGGTCCTTGCAATACTAAAAAGGATTGGTATGAATTATGAATAATATTATAGTAATTATAAATTATAGATGATAATTTTGTTGTTTTGAGGGTTTAGAGTTTTTTATTTATTAAAATGAATGTAATGATAAATCTATAAAGAATTAAATATTTTTTATTAATATATTTTTTTAGAATGTTAAGTGTTACCATCTTTATAGAATTGAAGATATAAAATATAATTTTTAAAATTAAAGCAAAAAAGTAAAAACACAATCAAATAAAATATTAGAAGGGTTTTTTATAATTATTGGTGATCAATTCATTTGATCGTGGTAATCATTAATATTAACTACTTAACTACATTACAGCCGATTGTCTTATCCAAAATAATTATAACAAAAAGTTTATGAAATGGTTTTTAGAACTAATTAATTAGTTTTAATAAACAACAGTTACTAAGTTATAATCAACTCTTATCCATGGATCTATCTCTCTTCCCTTGCGTTCCAAAGAGAATTAATATCTCAAGATCCCTCTCATCGTCCGCTACAGAAAGAGAAGAGATGGTTAGAGAAATGGATGCATGACTCCCACCCACTCAATCATAACCCCACCCATATCATATTCTTCTTCATTGTCTCTCCATAAATCCGTTACTCTCCAACCTTTTTCCCCTAAAAATATCGTCACTGTGCACTACAAAAACATTGGGAAACCATACCATTTCTGGTTTTTAAATTTGCCCGACCAGTCTAGTCCCATCCGATCTTCTCACCTTTCACATTTTTTGTACACTTTGTGAATTCCTTGTTTTCTTCTCTCTCCATTATTACTTGCTTACTCTATCCTGCTACCTAGTTAGTCTTTTCCTGATCTTCTTTTAATTAATTCTCTTTCTCTTTCTCTTTCTTTGTTTTTAGTTTTTGTTTACCCTTTTCTCTTTAATTCTTGATCTGTGTGTGTAGATGTATAGATATATGCTACGTAGTCCCTTTGCTTAGGTCACAACTCATATATTGTAGTGAAAAATACGCCTAATTAAAATGCAATACTTACAATCGTTTTGAAAAATACTCCTAATTAAAATTCTCTCCCTTGATCTGTACTCAAATCCACCGTTTCATTAATTAGCACTAAAAAAGATGGCTCTGGACGTGGTATCTGAACGTGTTTGTTATGTTCACTGCAATTTCTGCAACACCGTTTTAGCGGTACAGCACTCCTCAATTCTCCTCCTTTCCCTTCTCTCCTTTTCTCTTTCTCCATGTTTTTTGTGTATGTTGTATCGGATATCTTCTCTCTCTCTCTCTCTCTTTTATGACCTAGCTAGTAGCATCACTGAGGAGTTTGCCTCATGATGATATGTCTTCAGAGCTTAATTGGTCATGACAGCATCATGTTCCATCATCAGCTAAGCTCTTGTTGGTGAAAGTTTTTTGGTTTTGTAGGTTAATATAGGAGGGAAATAAGAGGGGTTCAGCTAAAAAGACTGGTGCTGAGAATATAGGTTTATGTGGTTTATAGAATAATAATGTATAACTGTAAATCCATTCTTTTATTTGAAATACAAAGAAGTCCTTTTCTTGGGATGATTTTCTTTGAACCATCATTGGTCGAAGAGTTTTCTTGGTTTTACTTTGAAATAGCTAGCAATTCTCTCTCGTGTCATATTTTATGAAAAAATCTATCAGGGTTTGGCCACCAAAGCCTGCAAAATCATTTCTGGTGTCTTGAAAATTGTGAAACATTTAAAAGCCTTTTTAAGACTTATGATTTTGAAAACTCGGTAGTTGAAGAAGACAAGAGAATTCATCGAAACCCATTTGATTTAAAGCCCTTGGTGATCTATCAAATAAGAAGAAAAAGAAAAGGCTAGGAAAGTAACATTTCAACAAGTTTAAGAAAGAAATCCCACGGTCTTTTTACTAGGGCTACAGGTAGGTTTTAGGGTTCTTACTTGACAGGTAATGTTGCCAGTACTCCAAAAGAAGCTTTTTTCCTTGCAGAAAGTTTAGAAAGTTTCAAATTTTCATGCTGCTAATCTACTGCTCATGAATTAATTAATGGAGCCTGGCAACTCTTTCTAGCCATAGCTTTCCATCTACTAATCTATATCACCTTTTATCATTAGACATTATTTCTAGGGGGTGAACTGGTTAAATATTGTTCATGATCTCGCTATCTTGAAGGTGGGTGGGTGCTACTGTTGCTGCATACTAAGGAACTGAAATTATCTCTTTGATCTTAAATATTAGTTATGTTGCATATTTTCAGGATTGTGTATCCCTGTAAGCACAAAAGTGACTGCTTTTCTTGGTTCCTACGAGAGACTTTGTGGAGAGCTGGCAAAGAGCATCATAATGGCCAAGCGAAACCATAGCCCAAATAAATGCTTTTACTCTCTTTTTCAAACCCTTTCATCATAGCATGCCTCTGCTAAAACCCCCTTTTGAAGTGCATTCTCCTATAATACTCTCTCTCTCCCTTGCTCTTCCCAATCTCTTTTTTAAGAAATGAAGATCCAAAGCAGTATACTCAAATTTCAGTAAAAATCATTCCTATATCTTTATTGTTTGCCATCTTTGATAGCTGTATTTAATTTACTGTTCATGTTTTTTATGGTTTCCCTTCAAAGTCAAGTCCTTTTCAATCTCCTCTCCTTCTCTCTCAATCTCTTTGTGTTGGCTATTTTTTGTTTTTTATCACCTTGCTTCTGTGTCAGGCAAAAAGTCAGTATAGCACCGAAAGGAAGGTAACATTGAAGGGGGAAAGAGAGAGAGAGAGAGAGAGAGAAGAGAATGGAGGCATTTAAAGTAAGGGTCTCTATAGTTATTACCCATGTGAGGTGTCTGAGAAATCAGCGGTAACTGAGTACAAGTGCCTTCGATCCCAGCATAGAAAAAAGAATCACTCAAGCATCTCCGAGCCCCTTAAATAGCCCTAAAATAATGAAACATGATACACTGATCTCTTGCAGAGAAAACATTGCTTTGCTTCATCACTCCCTCCAGCTTCTCCTCGCTCCGCCTTCTATCTCTCACATACACTCCCACATTTCTTGTCTTCTCTTACCTTCTATAAATAGTTCCACTTCAAATTTCAACCTATACCTTTGCTTCTCCTCCTTGTCCCTTCTTATGTCCTAACTCCTATATTTCTTTTATGGCAGATCAGAGAACCCTTTTTTTATTTGTTTCTCATGAGATATATAAGTTGCATGAGAGACTTCAACTTTTCAAAAAAATTACTTTATTGATTTCAAGACTTGATATGATGTTCTATAGATGTCGTTTATAATTACTTTTTGCAGAGCTCTCAAATTAATAAAGTTGAAGTATCTGCAATGTTGCTATCATCAATTCATGTCATGCTAGATTTATAGATCATTGATACAATAATGGTCCAGCTAGTTTTAAAAAATGTGGGCATAATTAACTTAAAACCTCAAATCACAAACTAACAAAACCTAGCCCTAAGCTTCAGTTAATTTGGATGCTAGCTAGGGTTCTGTCAGAATCTTAAGCAAATTATATATACATTTGGATCTATCCAAGTGATTTCTTGTGCGTGCGTGCGTGCGTGCGTGGGGGATGATAAATAGAAGACATTCCTTTCAAGTTATACAATTCTTCCTGGCAGGTTAGTGTTCCAAGCAGCAGCTTGCTCAGTATTGTGACAGTTAGATGTGGGCATTGTGGCAATTTGCTGTCCGTGAACATGGGAGGTTCCTTACAAACACTTCCTCTTCAAGATCTCCAGGTGAGTATCATTTCAGATTCTTTTGACTTTCTTTTCATGGACATTCTTATGGTTAACTGTATACTCTTTATATGCTGGGCATATGAATACATTTATATAAGGAAAATTTTAGAGAACAAGAGGATACAAGTTTTTCAGTGAACAAGATTCCAAACAATATCTTAAATTGATTATTTAAAACATTTCCCAAAGGAAAGGTAATATAAGACAATTATTGTTCTTTTTCCCCCCTGTATTTGTGTGTGACTTTTGGCTGTATATATTCTTAATTAAAACTTACAAATCTGTTTTCCAAGCTACGCTATTGTGATATATTCAGGCTTACTATTTCCTTTTTTCTTTCTTTCTTGGTAAGAAAATGTTTCTTGGTGCACTTATATAATTTATTTGTTCAAAATCACAGAAACTGCACCTTCTAAACTCTGAAGATTTGAGCAAGGACAGTGGGTCATCTTCCAAACCTAACAAGGTCACTGCTTTTAAGCCTGCCGAGCAAGAACCACCAAGAATGTCCCCCATGCGCCGTGAGTTTCTCTTTCTCCCTCTCACACACACAGGTGGATGTATGTGCTTCTTGGTGTGTGTACGCATGTTCTTCTCGTTTTTATTTTTACTCGAAACTTAATGTCATTTGCCATGGTTTATTGGTTGTGTAATGTAGTTTAGTGGACGTACTACCTGTACGAATGTGTAGGTAGATAAGTAATGCCTTAGTACGTGGCTGATACAAGTGGTTAAATGCTTCCAAACAACATACATAGGGTTAAGGTATGAACGGACTTGGAAATGTTGATGAGAAAGTGACTCCAAAAATGATAACTTTTTGTTTATTTATATAATCTGGTGTGGCATAATCTATGTTTTATATCAATTATATATTTAAAAGTATATAGTTTTGTATGAGTGAGTATCATTGAGAGTTCTCTTTTAATTAAAAGAGTTATAATTTATAATATATATATATATATATTCAAATTATAACCATAAAAACTAATAAAATAGATAACCCCATCAACCACGTTCAAAGAATGATGATTTTCTTTTATATCATAGCCCATTCCAGAGTGTTGACATTTCGTGAGAAATGGAACTGACTATTAAATGAGAAACATTGCCCTATAACATATGGTGAGACATTTTGAAGTTTACCTCGGTGTATACGCATTGATTTCTTTTATGATTATTGATGAAGCATTCGAGAGAAATTAAGAAATATATATGTATGTATGTATGTCTTTAAGTTCGTACTTTATTTGGTTGAACCAACATATAGTGACACTATTATTGACATTGGCATATGCATGTTGTACTTGCTTATTAAGAAAATTGCAATGACCTAGTTATGGATTGTCTGTCACTTTATGAAGGATGGTACTATGCTGAATTATATATTTGCCTATTCGACCTAAGAAATTAGCTATGGTTTTGACAGCGTGGGGTGTCCGGGCCAGCTTACGCGCACCACGACTAATCCCCACGGCCCACTGAACACCCTGCAAACCCAGCAGGCAGGTAAGGCAGCACGGGGCTGACAAGCATGCAACTCCAAGGCTCGAACCCGTGACAGCAGAAAGCGTAAGGCGCCATTCCATCGCTGGGCCGTTGCCTTGGGTTTTGACAACATGGAATGTAACAGACTCATGGTCATTAGATATATCCTATGGTTATTTTAGGGTTAATAATCAGTCAATTCTAATCAGTGGATGCAATCCTAGAGCGTATAATTTGAAAAAATAATAATTAATTAAATGTTTTGAAATGTGTAGTCGGGATAAAACAGAAAATAATTGCAATTATTGATGTATATAATTAATTATATGTTTAGGAACTAATTATTTCCCTATCAATTGTCAACAAAAGCAGCCCCTGAGAAGAGACAACGTGTTCCTTCTGCATATAACCGGTTCATCAAGTATGTTAACATTTTCTATTCTTGATGAACATCATCCCCCTCCCAGTAAGAGTTGATCATAAGCCTTTATTTAAAACTGTGTAAAATTACTTTGCAGGGAGGAAATTCAAAGGATTAAGGCTTGTAATCCTGACATCAGCCATAGGGAAGCTTTCAGCACGGCAGCAAAAAATGTGAGTTTGTGCCTTACATTTATTTTATTTTTTCTTTATAGCAAATTAATTAGAAACAATAAAAAGATAAATTATATTATCAGTTTTTTTTTTTACAATGCTAATATTATTTTTTAGAATTAGTGTTACTAATATTAAAATAACACATAGGATAATGTACTATGACTAAAAAAGAACTGAGATTAGGGATGTGAACTGGTTAGATTTTAGTAGTGGAATATAATAGAACATAATCTAAAAATATAGAATAATATGGTTTTAGGAAAATTAATTTTAGTAGATAAGAAAAAAAAATCTTTATATTACCCAAGAAAATATAACACAATCCCATTGGTATTTAAAAAATATATAAAGTGATATATGAATTATTGAATTTTCATTAGATCATTGTTTTGCAAGATATATGTTAAAAACAAAAATAAAAATTAGACAATGTAGGGTTTTTTCTCCAATATATAAAACATAAACAATGTCTTATCAATTGTTTGGGTGCTAAAATATAGCAACTTCTAGTATAAATGTATAATACTTTTTTAATTTGATGATCTAGGAATAATTTAAAACTAATTTATATGTTAATTAATACTATTTTTTATTTTATGGAAAGGCAACATTTTGTGTACTCTTAAAACTCGGAACTGTTTTCTCCTACTTAAAATCCAAACCTTCTTCAGTAACATAAAATTAAAATGCTGCATGGGGCTAGGAGATCATAACATTGCAATCTATATGTATATGTGTGTGTGTGTGGTAATTAGATTTTTTGAGGATTAAACTACTGTTAATCTAATATTATTTTTGCATCTATTTACCATAGAGTAATTGTAATCTTATACAATAATTTTACATAATCTATTTATCAAGAAATTAAATAACACTTATCGGATGGGTATCTTATACATTAAATAAATGAATTTTATTAGTGAATCTCATATACTATATATAATCATGATTTTGTGCCACTGGACCTGTGATAAACAATTAATTAAGTAATTATTATTTTAGAATTTGAGATTTGATTAGAGATGACTAGAAATGTGTTTTTATTATCATTAACTATCACTAACTAATTTCTTAAAGAATGTCTATTCACCTTCAAATAAAACAAAATCATTCCTCAATAGTTTTAATTTAGAACATTTGTCAGCTGGACCCAATAAAAAACATTAATAGAATATATATTTGTTTTTCAGTGGGCACATTTTCCACACATTCACTTTGGACTGAAGCTGGATAGCGACAAGCATCCTTAATTAGACCACCAGTCATTCGCAGGAGGAGAGGGCACTCAAAAAACATCCTTAATGGATTGGACGAGATCGACGGTGTCCTGTGAGTAGTAAAACACACACACACACGCTAAGCTACAATTTTTCCATGTATATTTATAATAATACCTCGAGTATCATCGAAGATTTTATAATTATGTGTGTTAATTTCATATTAAAAAAATTAATTTCCTAACACTTCATAAAGTGAATGCTATTTCAGTGATTATTATTGCAGTTATATATGTTGGAATTTTGTAGAATATTGATGTGCAAATTTTTACTTTCATTTAGTACTAGGATGGGCAAAAAAAATAAAAAATTGATTAAATTGAGAAATCAAAAAAAATGATTATAAAAAAAATAGATTAAAATTTTTAAAAAACTAACTTGCTCGGTTTTATAAGCCCGAAGCCAAAAAAATTAAGTCAAACCAATTTGCACTGGTTTTATTCAAAAAAAAACTGAAACGAACTAAAACTAATCGGTTTAAACCGGTTTCGGTTCAATTTTGATTTTATTTAAAAAAATTAATTAATTTATTTTTTTAATAAAAACTGAATCAAACTGAAAATAATAACTACTATTTAGTACCATTCTCTTTTATTATATAATCATCAGTATTTAGTACCATTCTTTTTTACTGTGGTACAGTATATTTTTAATATTAATATATTAAAATTATAAAAATATTTAAAAATTTAATTTAATATTTTTTAAAATAAAAAATAATTTTGAAAAACATATTTAAAAAACACTTGAAAACAGAAGCAATAACAGTGCCAAGTACTAAAAAAAACGAGAGACAGGGAGAATATTATCATAGCGAGAAAGTCCCACTTAACCGATATGACATTTTATGATTTAATGTTACGCTCAAAGAACCATTATGGATTTATTGTCTAAATGCAAGCTTTTTATATTGCAGTACTGTGTATATCACAAGAAATTTTATAGAGAAAGATGCACAATGGATATAGCTCTTGCATGTATTTACATGCAATGCAGTGTTAAATAACCGTTCAATTTAAAAATTTTTAATTATTATAAAAAAATTTAAATATGATTTTATATTATTTATAATAGTATAATATTGTCATCTAAAAAAAATCAAACTATTTTGGAATTAAAAAAAGGTGTTATTTAATTTCAAAGATAAGAAGCCACATTGATATTCATAAAAATAAATACTAAATAATTTCATGGTTATTAAAAATTTATATAATTATTAATTTTAATACTTATAAAATTACTTGAGATATACATAAAAATTAATATGGATATTTATCTTAATTTTAAAAATAATAATAATCACCAAACTATAAGCAGACATATGATGAAGAAAAGAAAGATTTTCCGTAAGCAGAAGCAGACACCAAATTTGATGTGACGAAAAACATGCGGAGATAACAAGACATGCCACCTTGGGATTCTCAAACACACTTTTGTGTGTGTCCAAGGCTGCCCAAGCATTTCATACGTGCATATATTCTCAAGAGGTTGATTATTTCACATATCACTGCGTTATTTAGAGGGTTTTTTTTTATTATAAAATATCATAATAAAAATAAAAATTTAATTAAAAAAGTAGCACAATTTTAACAAGTTAATGTAAGATGTAAATTCATATATTATGTACGATTATATATATATATATATATATATATATATCATACAACTTTCAATACTATGATTTAAAAAAAATGAAAAAAAAAATCACCTTTTTATTCATCTTGCATAGCTAGTAGCTATATATTGACGTATTGTGCTTTCTTCATTATTTGCCTACAAGGAGGAAAAGAAGTAAATTTATTCAAAAAGATATTTTACTGCTGGTAATGACAAAAACGTTAGATTTTCTCTCTAACAATCTAGGATTTTACATATTTTTTAGTTTCAGTTTGAGCTAAGATTCAATTTTTTTATAAAAATTTGAATTTTTTCTATTTTTAATTAATTTTTTTAATATTTTCAGATATTTTGATGTCCTAATATTTAAAATAAATTTTTAAAAATAAAAATATATATTATTTTAATATATTATTTAATTAAAAAATATTTTAAAAACAATCGATAACACTCTTCTAATTACCTAGTAGGTCAAATTTACCTGTTAGTCTCTGCCTTTTCGTACTAGCTAGAGATTAACATATTTTTAAGTCCTATTTATTTGTTGAAAAGTAGTTTTGTTTTGAAAAATGATTCTCTAAAAAAATAGATTTCTAAAAAGCAAATTATATTCATATGTTTGATAGTATTATGGAAAATAAGTTGAATAACGTTTTAGTAGTTATATCATGGAAAATGAGTTGAAAAATAAATTATTAATATTTTTTTCAAGTTTATTAAAATAATAAGAAATAAATTTTATAAATTAAAAAGTTGAACAAGAATAAAATTAAAAAATATATAATTTCATAAATTATCTTAAATAAAATAATTAATAATTAAAACAATGGACATAAAATATAATAAATAAATAAAATTTGAAAGATGATGAAATTAAAAAAAATTATAATTTCATAAATAATTTTAAATAAAATAAATCAGAATAAAAAATAAGAATCAAATCTGGTAAATAAAAAATTTTAATTAATAATAAAATAAATAAATAATAATTATAAAAATAAAAAACCAAAATTGATATAAACATTAAATTAAATCAAATCCTAAAAAATAAAATTGAAAAAAAAATCTATAACAATTAAAAGTTTGAATCAAATTTGATATAATTAGTAAATAATATGATATTTTTAAATTTTTCACTTTTAGAAAGTATTTTTTGTCTAAAATAAAAAATCAAAAAATATTTTTTATTAATTAATTTTGTTATTAATAAAAAAATTTAAAAAATATAAAATAATTTCTAAAAACCCAATTTTCACTTAACAAACTATTCCTTAAGCGAATCAATGTAATTAATTCCAGCTCACACTGAACTTTATTAAATCAAAACCACTTGACATTAAAACGAGTTCAGTACACCATGCTACTGTTTTGTTTTTTTTTAAAAAGGAAACAGTGAATAAGACTTCAAGTTTGCATGCAATGTCATGTTGACGTGATTAAAACCCTAGCTAGGATTGGCTATATATAAGATCATCACATTAATCCGATGGCTGTGATCAATCATTTTCCACCGATGATACGAGTTCTAATGCTAGTGGGCCCATCCCAATTTTTTCATTTGTTTTTCTTTGCACTAACAAAAGAAAATGAACAATAAGAAAAGTGGACTGTAAATTCTGCAATATGCCCACCGGTGCGTAGCCAATGAGCATGAATCCCGGCTATAGTGTAAGTGCATTACAAAAGCACAAATGCAATGATCCCCAGAGAGAAAAAAAGAAAGAGAGAGAACTAGGGTTACTGTTACTGTTACTGTTACCATGTAATGTAACTGGGGCTAGGAGGTTTGTCCATTGGGACGGGGCTAAGAGTTCAGAATCTGATATGTCAAATCATGTAGTCGGTCTTTTGGATTTACATGGTGAGTGTTGCTTTATGACTTTAAAAATGCTGGATTGGGCTGTCATGACATGCATAAAACACAGCAATATAATTAATTGCGCGCGTGGATGGAGACATTAGTAGAAGCCAGAGAAATCAGTGGTGTTCATGGTTCGGCTAGGTTTGATTTAATTTAAATTTAAAAAATTAATTAAATTATATTATATTAATTTTATAAAATATTAACTAAATTGATCCGATTTAGTTAAAATAAAATTTAGCAAAAAACTAGGAAACCTAATCTCATCATCTAGACTCTCTCAAATCCCCTCCTCCCAGCTCTGAAAACCCAAATCTTGACCTACCAACCTAAAACTCCACCCGATCCTTTCGCTTTTTCATCCAAATCTTAGCAATCAAATCTGAATCCATCATTAAAATCTACAAGAAAGACCTCGAAGCATTTGAATCCAACTTGAAAAATGAATTCGTCATTATTCGTGATGTCACTTCATGCACCGGTCAATGTCTCTCTGCTTCTTTTAAGGACAATGTTGTTGTCGCTTAGGAGTCTGTTTGACAAGCCATCGATGATATTGGATTCTCCATGTGAAAAATCATTATTTCATATGGCCAGAAAACATAAACTATTTCAATCTTTAAATGGAGTTGATCAAATATGTGCCAAGTTTCTAGATACTTCAGATAAAGATTACTTCTAGTCTTTAAATGTTCATTGTCAATCTTGTAAACAGCAAACAGTACAAGCAAAAAGAGATTGATATGGCATTTGATCTATTTTATGACTGCCACAATACATTTTATATGTATACAGTTGCTTATCTATATGAAGAAACTAGAAAAAAAATTAAAAATTAATTAAAAAGAAAATTGAGAATTTTTCTGGGTAAGGAGTCAGTTTTTTATGAAAGCTAGAGGCAGGAAGGTTATATTAATTGTTAGGGTTAAATTAACTATTTATACCATAAATTTTTGTTAATTGATTAGTAGGTCCAGTTCAGTTTGGTTCGATTTCTAGTTCAAAACCGAAACTGACTTAGACCTGTTAAAATTTATAATTTTAAAAATCAGTTTAATAAGTTTTTTATTTTGGTTCAGTTTTTTCAATTAATTTATTTTTATTTTTATCAATTTTCTTAATTAATCAGTTATTTTAAACCACCTAGTGGAAATTAATAAATCTAAGTAGAAGGAGAAGAAAGAGTTGTTGCTTCTGGGCTAGTAAAAGCAGAAATAGCAAATATGTAGAGGAAGGAGAGAAACAAAGAAGGTCCGTCAGTTAGTGGTTGACACGACTAAAAGATTGATGTCTTATCCCAAGTGCAGGAGTGTCGAAGTAATAAATAACCCGGCAAGACCGGGATCGAACCACAGGGAGGTTAATTGTACAAATTATAAAAAACAATAATACAACAACAACAA